AGCGTCTGTCATTCATCTACTAAGATACAAATGTTTGTGTATAATAATTGTTTAACGTTTTCTTGTATGTTGTCATATGTGTGTTTATTAAAGTTTGGGGTCGTGTTATTTTCTAATCCTCGAGTACCCGTGTGGTACTTTATAGGTATACGTGTTTATGTATATGCGCTTCTTAGTTTAACAGTATAAGTGTGCGTAGATGTTTCTGTATTTGGTTTCGATTATTATTATGCGTAAAGTGTGCTTGCATATTGCTTATTGCGTGACAAGAAGTAAATCATCGATGTATGCTGACGCCCTTCGCTTCGTGTGTATAATGGGAATTTGCAGCTGTAGCATATAGTCCCTTACTGTTTGGAAGAACTGCAGTACAATTCGGTTCTTCGTCACCAAAGCAGGAACTAAAAACAACAATGCCAATCACAAAGCAAAGCACGCGTTGCCATAGATCGTCTCCGATTCGGTTACTGTGCCATTGAGGCACTGTGCGTGACAAATCATCTCGTCAAATACCTTCAGCTGATGCCCTCCGCGGCGCTGTCTTCTACTCCTCGGGAAAACTGGCTTCCCGATCCAGCGCTCTCAACACATGACAAATACGTTAGTCCTAATGCCTCAAAATGCAATCTTCGCCTACGTGTAACCACTGGTGTTTGTGTACTGTGTTCCCGGGTTCTAACTTTCACTATCAGTGTGTTGCCATGTGGGCCAGGGTGAGCCGCCTGCGGCAGTTGTCTTTCTCTTTCTTAGTAAGAAATCCATCTATTTTTAAGCTGCAGATGATTAATTATGAAATGGGTGCAATGTTTTGATCCCGGCATACAATCTTCTTTCCATAACCGAGCCCACAGTAGACAAAGAACAGCAGGTTTCAAATCAGCGAGAAAAATACAAAGTGGCAACTCGGCCACGCCTGCGAAGGTCGCGTGTTTCCACGGAGTTCACAAGGGCAATTTCACATTTATCTACGCTTGTTCTGAGCTGTCTTTGGTGATGAACTTCAGATGTCTTCCGAGTCGGGAGTGTATTGTGCATCACTGTGTCTGTCATTTCATAATGAAAAAGAATGGAATGAACGATAGTTAACAATAATGATATGGATTTTGAGAAAACACATTTTGATCTGATTAATGCTTATTAGTTATTAGATAATAAAGGAAAAGGAGAAATTGCAAGAATGCGTTTACAGTTACATCGGAGATAATGATAAAATTTGATATACAACTCCCTTACACAACACACACACACACACACACACACACACACACACACACACACACACACACACACACACACACACACACACACACACACACACCACACACCACACACACACACACACACACACACTTATACATGCATTCACAGTATTAGCTTGACAGTAAAGAAGGATCAATCTGATGCCAGACACAAAGAGCGTTTATTGGGGCGTCGCAGGACGTCCGTCGGGCCGTGCGGTGTCAAGTTCCTGGACCAAGGCGCTGAGGCCAGATGGCGTCGTCACTCCCGGCGGACGCCGTGGGGGCAGAGCTCGGCAAGAACGCAAAGCATAGTGCATATCTGAATGGCGAGGCCTATTCAAGGCTGCAGGATTTCTAAAATCAAGAGGCAAATGTGGCGGCGATGATTCAGTAACAACGCAAATTGCTGCATCGTCAACCCAAGGTTTTATGCGGTAATTTTAGGACAAACGTTAGTCATCGGATTACTATTTATTATTTATTTTATTTTTTTCATTTACACGAAAGGAAGCAGAGAATCCAGCAACTCTATAGGATGAATCTCGCTGCAGTGATCATATTGAACTGTTAAGAAACCCGAAATTTCTTTAAGGAATCACTTTCTAGTGGCTCCGTTTCATCCATTTAAGTAGTAACTACATACCTAAGCATCTGACCAACGTGATACAGAGAACGAGACACAAGTACTTGCCACGAAGAGCGGTCTGCCTCTTGGGGATATAGAGGAGGTCAGTTCACACTCACCACTTTCCTCACGTGCAGCGATACACGCAAAGGGAAGAAAACTGAGACTCTGCGATTTATCTGCTGTAGATAACACCCAGATAACTCTTATCTCTGTGTGTCTTGGATTGTGAAGATAACGATGATAATTGTTGTTAATGTTATTATTATTACGATTAGTCTCATTGTTATCACTTTTTATATCTATCATTATCAATATTATTGTCATTATCATCGTTATTACATTTATTATTATTATTGTCATTGTTATTGTTGTTATTACTACCATCATTATTATTATTATTATTATTGAATTATTATTATAATATTTATATTAGTATTAGTATTATTATCAGTATTATCATTAGTAGCAGTAGTAGTAGCAGTAGTATCGTTATTATTGTTATAATAATAATTATTATTATCATTATTATTATCATTAGTAGTATTATCATTACTATTATTTTCATTGTCATTATTATTAGTAGTAGTATTAGTCAGGGGCGTGTCCTGAGAATTTTCTGGTGGGGGGCACAGGAGGTAACAACAATAAATCCGTAGAATGAACTAAAGGGGGAGAATGAGAAGGACTCCTTTGTGTAGGAGAGGGGGGTTAGGTAGCAGGCTACCTAAGAATGAAGGAATGATTCAGGAGTAAAGTAAGGGGACGAGGCCCCTTGCTTAGTGTTTTCTTTGGCGTTTTCATGCATTTTGGAATTCGTGGAGAGGAGATTACGCATTTAACTTTGTTTCTTTCTTTCTTTCTTTTCGCCAGTCGGGTTAGACACCATATGTTTATTGACCTATCTATATACATATTTATTTATATATATATATATACATTTATATTTTTCTCGCCTGCTAGGGATTATCATAGTTAGAGCAAGTCTCGCTATAATAGCCTATTGCAGGTGAGACCCTCGCCTGCCTCCCTCCCAGCTCCGCGGAGTTGAGATCGAGGTTCAGTGGGTCACTTTTTTTTTTTTTTTTTTTGTCATAAACATTAAACATTGATATAAATAAATGGGAAACACAAAAATGAAACAAAAATAGGAACACAGGACGTAGTATGAACATGAAAAGAAATATAGAATATGGAACAAGGACGTAAACTAGATGTATAGAACATGGACATAGGCAGAAGATTGAATGGAAACATAGAACAGAGGCGCAGAACATAGACATAAACATGGATAGAGACATAGAATAGAAACGTAAACATAAACATAAGACAGAGACGTAGAATATGAACATAGAACTGGAAGGTAGAATGGAAACAAAGAAACATGGAATATAAACATAGAAGAGTCTCGTTATGATAGCCTATTGCAGGTGAGACCCTCGCCTGCCTCCCTCCCAGCTCCACGGAGCTGAGAGCGAGGTTCAGTGGGTCACTCTTTTCTTTTTGCTTTTTGTCTTTTGTTTCATCGGTTATATATAAACATAAAGTGAGCATAAACATAGGACGGAAATATGGAAACATGGAACATAAGCATAGAATATAACATACAAAGGTGACTACGGAGGTTTTGTTTTTGTTTTTTTGTTTTCTGTTTTTTGTTTTTGTTATTGTTATTTTATTTATTTTATTTATTTTATTTATTTTTTTATTTTTATTTCTATTTATTTATTTATTCTATAAATTTTTCGCCTACTAGGGATTATCATAGTAAGAGCGTCTCGCTGTGATAACCTATTGCAGGTGAGACCCTCGCCTGCCTCCCTCACAGCTCAACGGACGGACATAACGTAGAACAATATCAGTGTAACATGGAACATAAACACAGAAGCACAATAACATGAACATGAATTATTATTGTTTTGTTTTTGCTATTTTTTCTTTGTTTTTTTTTCGAAAAATAAACATGAACGTATAAACATTTAATAATGAGAGGTGAAGTATGAGTGGAGCGGGGAGAAGTAATAGTTGTAAGAAACAGTGATGGTCAGATAGATAGAGTTATGGTAATGCAACTCAGATTAACAAAGAGAAAAATAAAGAACAGAATGCTATGTGGTGGCATGATGTGGTGATGTGTGGGCATGATGGCTACCGTCTGTGTGTGGAAAACAATCCCCGACTCGCACACACTCGGCCCGGTGGCCCCTTCCTCGCCCAGGTTTGTAGCTATTCATGCTCGGTGCTATGAGGTGATTTTTGGCGTGGAAGCGATCGTCAGATCCGAGTACACGCAAAAAGTGGGTGTGGTCGGACCGGAGGCTCATCCACCGCCAAGTTTGTGAGGTGCGGTGATGATGTACCAGAGTTGCGCTGAAAACAGTAGCATTAAAACGAACAAACAAATAAAACAACAGAAACATAACATTAACGTACGAACTGGGGTTCAGGGGGATCTCCATTTACAAGCGGGAGTGTTCTGGGCCACCATGAGTGGTTCGTGTGTGTGTTTTTGTATGTCATCATAATTAGTGATGTCTATATGTTGTATACGCGATCTTAGGCTCGCTTGGTGAGTGTGTGTATGCGTATGTTCAGTGGCTCTATGTTGTATGTTCGGTGTAGTGATTGTGCTGTGATTCCGTGGTATTCTGTCCTGTATTGTGTTGTTGTTTATCCAGTATAATGATTTGTTCTGTATGGATTGCATCTTGTGTAATTATGTTTTAGAGACTGCAATCAGTGGTATGGGCGTGTATTCGAGTATTGGTCTCACAGTAGTTTGGTAGACTTTGAGTTTTGTTTGTGTTGAGCAGCATAAGAAGCGTCTGATTTTGTTGAGAGTTGTGCGTGCTTGGTTCATTCTGTGTTATGCATGTGTGGAGATACCGTGTTTGCTGAAGTGTAGTCCTAACATGTTTCCTCTGTATAGGGCATGTCTCTGTTGTTTATTGTGATTGAGAGTGGGTGGGTTGTATTGAGCCAGTGGTATGATAGTAGTTTTTTGTGTTTGTATTTTCCATTTGTTGTCGTATGTGTTGATTGTGTTAATGGTTGTTTGTGTTGCTGCTTTCATGATGTTTTTTCGATTTGGAGGGATGTGAGATGATTCGTGTTATGTCATCTGCGTATGCTGTTTAGTAGCTGTACGGCGCTGGAGGTGGTAATGTATAGGGTGTAGAGGGTTGACGAGAGGACGCTGCCCTGTGGAACTCCACTTCTGAGGTGGATGGTGGGCCCAGACAAGACCCAACTCGGATGTTGGCCGTTCTGTCGTCCAGGAAGTTGCATAAGAGGCGTGTAAGATGTGGAGGCAGTTGAAATTGTGTTATTTTGTATTTGAGACCGTCATGCCAGACCTTATCAAAGGCCTTGGTGATGTCTGGTAGTATAATTTTGTCTGGTGCTTGTTTGCAAGACAGGGTGAGTATACTCCCAGTCCCTCTGTTTGGGCGGAAGCCGTGTTGCCTAGTGTTGTGTATGTTGTTTTCAAGGTGTGTTTTGAGTATGTGTGTCATTAGCCTCTCTACCAACTTCCCGGGGACCTCTAGCAAGGATATCGGCCTGAAGCTGGTCACCTCGTGAGGTGGCTTCCCCGGCTTGGGTATTCAAACTAGCGTGGTTTGTTTGAAGCGGGAGGGAAAGCATCCCGTTGCCAGGGCAGCGTTAAAAATGTGACGAAGTCTGGCGAGCATGATGTGTGGGAATTGTTGCATGATGATTTTGTTGATGTTGCTGGCTCCTGGTGTTGTGTTATTTGTTCGTGTATGAGCGGGTTTCATGTATTCTGGTGTGATGGGGTGTTAGAGAGGGTCGTCTGGTGAGAGTGTGTTCTGTGATTTTGTTTGTGATGGGAGAATCAAGCGTTGCAGCGGTCGTACTGTTTGTGTAACCTCGGTTTCTGTGTCTGTGTCGAATGTCGTGTTTTCAGCAGGGGAGATTTGGAAGTTCTGTTACCAGAACTCCCTGTGGACAGCTTCCATCCCCTCTGCTGAGTCTATCTTTTGTCTATTGGTGCTGTATATGTATGTGATAGTCTGTCTGTTCGATCCTAAGAATCGTTTGTACTTCAGCCAGAAGTCTTTAGGATTTTTTTATGTTGTTGCATAGTTCTCGTGTGTGTTTCCCAGTGTTGGTTACTCATGTATTTTGTTTCGTTTGTCAGTTTTGTCTTTGAATTTCTCTGTATCGTGAGCGTAATTCGGTGTTCCATCCTTGTGATTCAGTAAGTTCCCGAAGATGTCTGTACTGTATTTTGAGTGTTTTTAATTAAACGATGTGTTTCTTTGTAGTGTACGAGTGTTTTGAATGTTGTTTTGGGAATGTTTGCCTCACGGGCGGTCTGTATGTCTGTGTACCACTAGTTAAGGTGGTGGTTTTTGGTGTATGTGGGTTGCCGCTCGAGATCTGGAGTGTGTGTGTGTTCGAGAGCTTGTTTGAACCTTTCCCAATTTGCATCTTTAATGATCTCTCGGGGAGGGGTAGGTACCATGATGGGGTTTGTGGAAAGTGTAAGTATCACGGGGAGGTGACATCATCTGTGGTGATGTGGTAGTTCAGGTTTGCTTGTGTGTTAGCGAGAACTATGTCTGGTGTGGTGGAGCTGTTGTGGCATTGAACATGGGTGCGTGTGGGTCGAGGTGGATGAGTCTGAGTGTGGCGAGGCCTCTTCCAACGGCATTTGTGTCTCTGCATCCTAAAAGTCTGTGATGTCGTTGAAATCTCCCATTATGTATGTTGGTTTTCTATGTCGCAGGAGCCGTTAAATGTCAGGTTGGTCATTGCAGGGTCTGCGTGGAGGGATGTAGGTGGTGGCGATGATGATGGGTCCATGAGGTGTGCCTATTTTGATGGCCATGAGTTCTGAGGTGAAGTTGTCGAGTATTTTGTGTTTGTTGTGTTGTTTGACAGCGATGGCTACGTAGTCGTTGCCTTCGCTTGTTTTGTTGGATGTGCATGCAGTGTAGTTGAATATTCTTACTGTTTGTGGATGTTTTAATGAATGAGTTGATGAGTATGATGTCGGGGTCGTGTCGTCTATAGTGATATCAGAGTTCTTGTCTTCGTCTGCATGTCCATGCGGTTACGTTATGTTGAATGATCGTGAGTCTGGAGTGTAGTGTGTTGTACGGTGCAGCCGAGGTGTTACTTGGATGTGGTGTATCAGCCACTTTGAATGTGGTCAAGGTTTTGTTGTTTGATTTTTTCAATCGTGTTCGGCTGGATATAAATGTTGCCTTCATGTAGGTATAGTGCGATCTTCTGTTCGTGGATGCGTGTTTGGTATGTGGTGTTTGTGTAGATACATTTAATTGTACCGCGTGTGATTTCGTGTGCCAGTTGTCGTCTGCTCAGGTGTTTGTAACGTGAGGGCTCCGCCGCAAAGAGGCGGATGCCATATGTTTTTGGATTGAGGTCGTATCCCGTCCCTATGGCGAAGGGACTGATCATCGACCTCGGAGTCTGTAAGGTCGTCTGTGGGTCTGCGGAGTTTGTGTTGTTTTTGATTAGACTGATTGTGTTGGTTGTGGTGCTAGTTTCTGTGGTGAATGCTTGTGCGTGTTTGTTTTAGTGGTGTGTGGTCGTACAAGTGACTGTGTTGGCGTTGGTCTGGGTGTGGGTGTGGGTTTCCTCTGTGGTGTGGTGAAGATTTCAGTCTCTGGCTCATCCTGTGGGCCGAGATCTGGTTGTGGGGGTTTTGGTGAGAGTGTGATTTGTGTGAGTGTGGTTTCTGTTGTGGTGTTTAGTGTTTTTGGTGGGAGAACTTTGAAGATTCCCCAGGAATCCCCATTACCAAAGTCAAGTTCTGGAAGATTATTCTGCTTTAAAACTTTTTTTGCGTGGCGTCTGAAACCGAGACCTGGCTCCATGATGTCCTGGAGGTGGGCATTAATTAAGGCGGTCATGATCTCCACGGAGAGGTCATCAGGTAGTTAGAGTATTACCTGTGGCTCTTTTTTTCTCCTTCTCTTTCTCCTCCTTCATTTCTTTCATTAGTGGCTAGAACCAAGCGTTCTGTGTGGCTGCGATAGTTTGCTTGTCCGTCTATTCGGCGACCCTTTTAATGGGGATTTTTTTCTTTTCTTTCTTTGTTTTTTCTTCTCTTGTTTTTTTTTTCATCGCTTCTTTCCTGAGAGGGCAGGTATTA